CCTGGCCTCAGCCTCCCCCGGCCCGGGCTTTTGTCTGTTGCGGCGCTCCGCGTGCGCGCACGTGCTGGAAACACACACCCCCCCTCCGGCCCAGAGCATCCGGGTCCGCGGGGCAGGAGCGCCTCTCTCACCCCCATCCTCATCCCCTCCTCTCCTCTTTGTCCCACTCCCGCCTCGGATTCCAGGAGGGTCCTAGGCTCCAGAGGCGGGAAACGTGGTCTTTGTCCTTACATGGCGCGGAGAGGTGGACCCCCTCCACGGAACCTCTTCCATGTGCGGATTACAGAAGAGGTCTTTGTGGGATCATCGGGTTCCCAAATCCCTGGCCACCCAGGCCTCCCACAGATCAGCATCCACACTTGGGGAAGGCTTTAAGATTTCCATTTCTTTAGTCCAGGTGTTTCATTGATGTTGAAAATTTTTTTTCAGATTGTTTAGGGCTTGCATCCTCCCCCAAAATGGTGATCTGGTGCGATGTTTGGGTGCACTGTAATCTGCAAGCTTGGGACCCAAACATGAGTGCTAAAAACTGTTTTCTATCTTATTTCTTCAAGTAGTAAAATGACTTGAGATTCTTAAGGTTGTTCTTGATGTTCTGCACGGGTTAATGCTCTGCCTGGATGAATTATTTGGAGTGTACTGTGATCAGCATAGTTTCCACTAGCTCAATGCCTAAACGTGGGGAGAGTAAGCCATCTCTTCTAAGTAATTTCAAATTTGATTGAAAGTTGCTTGGGGTTCTGGTTAGGGAACGTGATGGATCAGCAAGGAATCAAAAATTTCTGTGATAAGCCTCCCTTTTCTGGATTCAGGTATTTCAGATTGTGAACCTGTATTTCTGATGCTTGGTATTCTTCGGTCTTTACAGTGAGTGATCCAGGGGGAAATACAAGGTGCCCTCAGAAGTTAGAGCTCAAATGTAGGACTTTAGGCTCTCCTCAGGTGTCTGTGATTGGGAGTCTCTTCGGATTACTCACAGTGCTGCCACTCTGCTTTGTATGTGATGCTTTGTGTGTGGTCATGTGGGATGTAGTGACAGCAGCCACTCATGCTGTGAATGAAGTGTGGGAACCAGAGGCTCATTCACAGCTGGAAAAGGGGGCGGGCGGGGGGTGGGGGAGGATCTAGGGCACTGACAGGTGCTGTTATGTAGTCCTGGGGTCTTTGCCCCTGAGCTGTAACTCTTGTCCCTGTGGTTTGCAAATGGAATCTGTGCAGGCCCTAGTGTTGTCTGTAGCTTATTGGAGGCTGGCAATTACTGCCAGGCTTGGCCTTGCCAGCACTGGACATTTGATTTATCAGAGTCTTCCCTACCCTAGGAGCTTGGGCAAGCCTTCGAATCGTCTTCTTTCTGGAGTGGAATGGTGCCTAATTGTTGGCAGTTTTGTTTTTCTTTATTTGAACACGTTTAGTGCCTATAGGCAAAAATTTGTTTAGTTACTTCTAGTATACTTGATAATTTTATTCCTTTGAGTGAGGATTCTCTAATTTCTAAAAAAAAAAAAAAAATGCTATAAAAAAATCCACATTGGCAAGAGCAGCTGCTAATATTCTGATGACACATGCATGGTGCTTGTTTTTGTGCTCCCCTGGTTAAGTTCTTCAGGTAGGCACAGGTGGAGTCCATGATGAGGAAAGAGTCTTCTGTGAGTCTATAAGTCACTTCTCTTTGGGTAAACAGTATCTTGTCTGTCATTTTTTAAATGTCTTTATTGATTTCAGAGAGGAAGGAGAAGGGAGGGAGAGATAGGAACATCAATGATGAGAAGAATCATTGATCGGCTACCTCCTGCACGCCCCACACTGGGGATGGAGCCCACAACCCAGGCATGTGTCCTGACTAGGAATCGTACCGGTGACCTGGTTCATAGGTTGACACTCAACCACTGAGCCACGCCGGCGGACTCTTATCTGTCTTTAGGCTTCAGCAAGATGTAGGGATTGGAAATGTTCTCACTTCTGAAAAAGGCTTTAGATGTTTTCTTTAGGCTGGACATGTGCCTCTTAACCTCTCTCACCACCTTCCCAATTCTTTCTGATTTTACCTTTTACAGGTCAGAGGTTAGAGAGGAAGGAAGGGAGGAGGGGAAACAGAGAGAAGAACATTGATGTGAGAGAGACACATTGATTGGTTGCCTCCTGCACATGCCCTAACCAATCAAGATCAAGCCTGGAACCAGGTACCTACCCTTGACCAGAATGGCATCTGCAACCTTTCAGTCCTCAAACCGATGCTCTAACCACTGAGCAGCTGGCAAGGGCTGTGCAGTTTTTTTTAAAAAGATTTTTAAATTGTTTTTGAGAGAGAGAGAGAGAAACATCAGTGTGTGAGTAAAACATCCATTGGCTGCCTCCTGCACAACCACAACTAGGAATTGAGCCCGAAACCTTTCAGTGAATGGTAGGATGCCCAACCAACTGAGCCACTCCAGCCAGGGCAACCTGGTACAGTTTTGAAAGATGTGTAAATGTCACCATCTGGTATTAGCATATATGGCCCAAAAAGTGGTGATATTTTATTTATATTTTTTTATTGATTTCAGAGAGAAAGGGAGAGGGAGAGATGGAAACACCAGTGATGAGAGAGAATCATTGATTGGCTGCCTCCTGCACACCCCACATTGGGGATTGAGCCCACAACCTGGGCATGTGCCCTGACTGAGAATCAAACCTATGACCTCCTGGTTCATAGGTTGACACTCAACCACTGAGCAGTGCCGGCCAGGCAAGTGGTGACATTTGAAATCACTAGAGGCCCAGTGCATGAAATTCGTGAACTTGGGTGGTGGTGGGGGGGGTCCCTCAGCCTGGCCTGCGCCCTCTCACAATCTGGGATCCCTCGCTCCTTATGCTCAGCTTGCTGCTCCTTAGCGGCAGGCTACTTACCGCTCGGCTTACTGCTCCTTAGCCCTGCATCAGAGGTGGGAGAGACTCCTGCCACCTCCACTGTGCTCGCCAGCCATGAGCCTGGCTTCTGGCTGAGCGGCTGCTCCCCCTGGTGGTCAGTGCGCATCATAACGACCGGTCGTTCTGTTGTAACAGCAGCTTAGGCTTTTATTATATAGATAAATGCTTTAAACTTTCTCAGAAATTAAGATTTTTCTAGGCTTTCTGAATTGGGTGTTTTTTATTTTAGCAGAGTCCTGGGAAAGGAAGATCTTATTTTTGTTTCCAGGGGAAGGGTTTGGAATTTGAGACAGATGGTGGATTGATAGGAGTCTACACACAGGTTGTCAGTGAAGTGTGTCTGGGTCCTGAAGGGATGAGGTTGACTTCAGTTTTCTGCTGCAGCATTTGACAATTTCACCTGAAACAACTAGCTTTCCTCTCTGCTTTGTTAGGGTAAGTTGGTGCTGCCTCTTCGAAGTGTTAGCTGTGTGGGCAGGTATTTGTTAGGGAGCCTTGTCAGTGTACTGATTTTTCAAAATTGCTTCTCACCATATTTATGCTCTGTTAAACCCCTGTGAGGTTTTCCCAAGACAGCGCTTTGTAGGTGATCCCATTAGAAATTGCAATAGGAAGTTCAGACATTTTTTATTGGTTGCTTCCCAAACTCATCCCATAGAACCTGAAACGTAGGTATGTGCCCTGATTGGGAATCAAACCCAACCTTTTGATGTATAGGACCTCACTCCAATCTACTGAGCCACCTGGCCGTTGCCAGACATATTTCCAATACCTGCTTTTTTTCAAATGTTTTAAGAAAGCAGTGTCCAGTTGAAATTTTTTCCTCTTCTCATTGAAAATGTAGCCACCAGTTTTAACAGGAAAATGAGTTTACTATGGGCCTTTTTTTTTTTTTTTTTTTTTTTGGTGGGAGCCATATACTATCACCAATGATGGTTTAGTCTAGTGATTCCCAAAGTGGGCGCTGCAGCGATCCAGGGGGGCGGTGATGGCCACAGGTGCATTTGGGGGCGATGAGTAACTGCTATTAAAATTTAAAAAACAATTAATTTCCAGGGGCTGAGTAATATTTTTTCTGGAAAGGGGGTGGTAGGCCAAATAAGTTTGGGAACCACTGGTTTAGTCAAAAGTTGAATATATTCCCTGGCCGATCTGGCTCAGTTGATTGGAGCTTCTGGTTCAATTCCTGCTCAGTGCATATACCCAAGTTTCAGATTCGATCACCAATTGGGGTGCCTACTGGAGGCAACTGATCCATGTTTCTCTGTTGTTCATCTCCTCTCTCTCTTCCTCTCCCTCTAAAATCAGTAAAAATATATTCTCACCCAGCCGGTGTGGCTCAGTGATTGAGTGTCAACCCATGAACCAGGAGGACAGGGTTCGATTCCAGAGCAGGGCACATGCCTGGGTTGCAGGCTCAATCCCCCATGGGAAGCGTGCAAGAGGCAGTCTCTCTTATCATTGGTGTTTCTATCTATCTCTCTCTTCCTTTCTGAAATCAATAAAAAATATATTTTTAAAAAAACAACACAAATACATCCTCATGGGAGGATTTTAAAAAAAAGTTTAACCTGCTCCTTTTATTTAGAATATTTAAATTGTCTCCATCTTATTTTTTTTTT